TATAAAGAATAAAATGGTGTTTTCCTAACTTGACCCGCGTGGGTCAGGTTAGAGCGCTAAGATTTCACAATAGTGGTCACTGTGTACTCTGGAAACGTTAAAGAACATGTCAAATCAACTACTTAGACTTGTTTCAATCATACAATATCCACAATACCTGTTATTGTAACTTTTAGGGTTTGTTCAAATCACACGACTTGTTTTTAAACTATTCGGTGATTCTGTTGGCGTCTAAATTTCGTTCAACATATATAGATATATTTAAGCTTCAAACCCAAAATATACAGAAATTATATAGAAATTCATGCTGGGACTTTAAGAATTGTCATTTTAGAGTGATTTGAGTACAGAAGATCATTTTTATATTTTTGCCATTATTTTGCCTGAGTATCCCTTTAAATCAAATGTGTATTTAAAGAAATTTGGTGGGAAATCATCAAATCCCGGCGCCTTGGCAGATTTCAATGAACGAATGCTCATTAATACATTGTCTTTCTTCTTCTTCTGTGATTTCTGAGTTAAAAATCTCATTTTCAATTTCAGTTAAATTACCATCAAATCTTCATCACCTAGGCCTTGAAATAATTTCTCAAAAGAGCTTTCCAAGATTCTAAAGGAATAATGCACTGGGCGTTACTATTCGAAGAGGGAGACAAAAAATATTGTTTTCCAAAATTATCTAGGGTTACTTGAATCTTTTACTAAATCATCAAGCTTGTTAGTAAAATATGTTTGGATGTAATGCTCGATAGCGACGCAAATGATAGTATTTACTCTTTTCAGTTTAACATTCGTTATCAAACCATTTAGGTTGTTGCTTAATAACAGTCTTTGTGTTTAGTTTCAGTTACGAAAACTTTAGATTTAAATATATATACGGGCTCGTCAGGCCATAGCAAAAAACATCGTCGTTATTGCACAAGATTTTGCAAAAATTACTATTCATATTGAGGTCGACACGACTTTTTGAAAACATTTTCTTCGAAATATGCAATATGTTGCGGATTATGTTGTGCTAGATTAACGATGAATTGTTTAAAAAAATCGATGGAATATTTAAGATGCTGGAATGATTTTGCCATGTCAAACATTGATATAGTTTAAAAGCTATTTTCTACTGATCGATTAGCCCGCCATTACTATTTTGTTTTTAGGAGGATACGGTGTCTCAATCAGACATTTGCAAACAATTCCAATATTCCAATAATGTTGTTAAATATGTTATGAAGGGTACAAAATGGCAGTAATTCAAGAGATTGATGTGGAAGTTGCTTAAGAAATCGTAGTAAATGTCATCTGGACCTGCTGCTGTAGACTTTTGCTTTCTTGAACAAATCAAATAAATCTTTGATAGAAAAGAGAGAATTGTGAATTTTGTCAAATGCTGAAGTAAAATTTATTTGTTCTCCTACATCTTTAGAAACTTAATGCTGTAGAAACTCATTTGAATAATTATTTGAAGAAGAGTTTTTTTTTGCAAATGTTTTCTTAATTACCTTTTGTGTTTTTGCATCTTGACAATTATTAGATTTCATTTGACTAAGTAGTGGGATATGTTTTTTTTATTTTACCACTTATCATCTATAACTGCATCCCATACTTTCTTAATAGGGATATTTGCATTTATATCTAAAACATACGACTTCCATGACTTGCGCTCAGATGATGAATTGATCTACTAGCTTTGGCTCTAAATATTTCATGATGTTTTAGGTTTTTGGATGTTGGACAATGCTCGAAGATAAACTTAAACGTCTATTGACTTACAGCTTTCTAGTGTTTATCATTGAACCATGGTTTCTTTATTTTGCAATACATTGTACGTACTTATTTGGTGACGAGCAATCTGTTATAATGCTGAAGAAAAAAGGGTATCAGCTATTTTATCAGAATTAAAATCAAAATCGGCTGCAGTAAGAAATCAATAAATTCTTCAATTGAATTCAATCAACTTTAGAAAATGACGTCACTGGTACCAATGTAAAGGGATATATGTTTTTTTTTGTGTTTATCTCAATTTAACCTTTTACCTCATATGGACGTGTTTTGACATTTTTCGCCACCTACCCCTTTGAAACCTCAAACAGTGAAAAATGCCCTATTTAGGCCCCAAATACTGTTTTTTTTCGTGTGAGGAATGTTGTTTAAAAATGATCACTTTTTCGGCACCGCCCCCATCAAAAAGTTTTATCAAGAGGTTGACAGAGGGGGGTTTGAAGGGGGCTGTAGACCCCCTCATCACCAAGAAAATTTTGGACATGTGACAGGCTAAAATAACCTCAGGCCGATCTTAAGGTAACGTGTAACAAACGCTGAAAAGCCTTTTACTCTATCTCAATCCATTGAGAAGTTGCAGCTAGGACTTTGAAATCAGTTTTGATGAAAAAAAAAACCCAGTGCAAAATAGTGATTTTTCGCATTTTGAGATGTCCCCTCGTTGCCATGGTAACAGGAAATTTAAGACTGAGCATGTCGTTACAAAGGCTTTGGTCCAGTCAACATTTGTGCCAAGTTTCACCAGCATTGAAGCATTTTTTTCATAGTTTCATAGCAGTTTGAACTTGTAACAGGAGTCTTTTCAATGAAAACGGCCATTTTTCACAATATGCTCATGCGGTAAAATGTTAAATATATAAAAATGAGAAATTGTACTTATATTTTATAAATTGTGCAATTGAGCCAAACATCAGTAGGATTTTAAATTATTATTTTCACTATAGTGATTGTATTGGGATTGCACAGAGGCAGTGTGTGTGATTAACATTATTTTCATTAGGGTCTGTTTATCCCACCCACTTTTCGCATCGCCTCAGTAAGACAAAGAAAACCATAGGTGAACATGTAGCAAACTTTTGTAAAATGACAAAATATACCATAAACTTGTTTACTAATGATTGTTTGATATACTTAAAGGCTCATTTGAAGCCCCGGTAAAAGTGAAACTTAATTTTTTGGAAATTAATTCAATTTTTCATACGTTTTTCAACTATAAAATGGCTGAAAATTTGTGATTTTTTCCTTCTTTTTCATGAATAATCAATTTATTTAAAAATACAGTTCATTTACAAAATTTATATTAAACGAAAATGATTAGAATATCCCAATTTGGTAGTTTCAACATGAATATACGAGTATGTGAATATTAAAAAAAATTCAGCCGCCATCTTGGCGGCCATTTTGAATTTTGGGAACCACATTGATTTTGAGCTTGAGGTCTCGATGAAATTTGATGGGTAAGATATCAGACTTTCAACATACAAAGTGGTTTGCTTGTAGAATAATCTGAACGATTCTTGTATTTTACCCTCGGATGGACTCTAACTAATAACAGGAATTCAATATTTGAAAATGTCATCCGTGTTTAAACACTTAACCCATCTTGACTGTGACTGTTCTTTTACATGTTCCACATTAAGTACTTTTCTGAATGATGGCAAAGAAGGCACATCGTATGAGATTTGATAAAGACTTTTTCATCCGAGCCATTTTTTTCTAGTTAAAACATCTCTTAACGTTTTCAATAGTGTAACAATCATGCGAAAACAACCGACTTATTATTCCATGAACAAATATCTTATTGAGGTTAACCATTTTAAATATGAAATAATATGACAAAATATGCATGAAGAATATCTGACATATGTTTGCAGTTCGGGCCGGAATATCCACCGGGTTACCTCAGGAACCGCCCAATTTGCGGATTTACTCGGGACGGATTTTCTGATCTGAAACGCAACATATGACAGATTAATAACACGTGATAAAAACAATATACATTATGGGAGATAATAAATATGTTCTTTTCGTCTCAAGGTGGACAACAAGTGTCAATCGAAAATAATGTTTCCAAAGATTCATAGCAATGTAGGTTTACACTACACAAATACCCGGCGGGCTTAAGGGTCTATAGTAGCCCAAAGTCTATGATCATGTTCAAATAATTAGATTAAACTTTAAGGTGTCGCACATTTCTAGTCAAATTGATTTTAACGACTTTGAGCATAAGTGCTTTACTTCACTTGAAGAAGTCTATAATCATACTTGTAAGTTCCACAACTGACATAAATAATCAAATAATGTTACATATTAATATGATTATTATTGATTATTATAATGAATCAGGATAAATACAGGATATCATTAACTATTTAATTAGTTTGGCATGACACTTTTCAATATAATGGGACTTGTTCCTTTATGAGTATGTTATTAAATACATGTACTTAATTTATTTTCACTCCTAGTACCACATACTACCAAACGTTTTTATATCTATGTAAAGTGTCCTTAACATAAAAATACAAAAATAAACCAGACAGACAGTTTAATCAGATATATATTTGTAGCGTTTCAGACATGTATGTTACCCCTAGAAAAAGATCAAAGATATTAATATTGTAACATTGTAATTGCAACGGTCCAAAATGGTATTTATGAAAATAGTCATAATTTGTGAAATATAGTAATGATAACTAATGTATATACGATTATAAAATATTGATAAAACTTTTTATTTGATAAGTATTTTAAAAAATATTTAATGTCAGCTGTAACAAGTGAAAAAATATAATTGAAGATGCTATTTCTAGATATTGTTCCAGATATTGTTCAAATGACTATTAAACTGAATTTCGGGACCATATTGATTATTTACGACTTCTTTGTAAACAGACAGGCGATGCTTAAATGGATGGTACTAAGGGTCTGAAAGACCAAGTTGTGCATACTTATGCAGCATAATGTTTAAAGATAATGTTAAAACAGATATACGTACACTAAAGTGATTATTGTAACAAATAAACAAGAACGCAAATGCATTTAATGAAGCTAATAGTAGTTAATATCTACAGATTTACAATGAAAATATATAGTATGAAAGCAAAGCATATTGAATGCGTATCTTACTGTTACTTTTCCCCATACAGACAGAATGCAATTCACAATTAGTTCTTTTAAATGCTAAATTGTTTCCGAACATACCATGTTTTATTTTTTTTAAGGTGTATGTGCAGAGGACATTATTTGCAGCAGTTCCTGTACACCAGATCCGGATAATATAACGGACACATGTAACCTCACTACTGGACAGTGTTTATATGGATGTCAGAACGGATTTGCAGGACCAAATTGCTCATATAACTGCTTTGTAAACTGTGCACATCCAAGAGTTGATGCAAAAGAAACCTGCAGTTATACCGATGGAAAATGTCTTCATGGCTGTCAAAACGGATATGCAGGGCAATACTGCTCATATGAATGTCCTGTAAACTGTACATATCCTGCAATGAGTGGAACGGAAACTTGCAATTTTACTAATGGAGAATGTCTGAATGGCTGTAACAAAGGTTGGACGGGAATACACTGTTCTTATAAATGTCCAGAAAATTGCAAGCTTCCTGTAGGAGATGGAAAAGGCACTTGCAATTTCACGACAGGAAATTGTATTCTTGGCTGTAATAATGGTTACGCTGGACCTGACTGCTCATATGAATGTCCAGATACGTGTATGTATCCAAAAGAAAACACATCAGGAACTTGCAATGTTATATCAGGGGAATGTTTACATGGCTGCATATATGGTTTTGCTGGACCGAAGTGCTCAATTCAATGCCCAGAGAATTGTATACAAGATTATAGAGGTTTCGACACATGTAATGTAAAAACTAACGAATGTTTACTCGGATGTAAAGATGGATTTTATGGTTCTAACTGCACAGAAAGATGCTCTGATATAGATGGTAACTGTGAACAATGTAGTGCAAATATGGAGAACACGTAAGTTTTACTTCTTATGGAAACATTTTGTAGGTAGTATATACGTTGAAGACATAGGTTGAACAAGAAGTATCGGCCGAAGTAAACCTGGTTAACTTGTAAAATTTATTTCTCAGTTTTTGATACATATTTTATTATTGGACAGAAAAAGCAATGCGATAATTTATCTTGAAAATAGGAACACTGTGAGATGTATGTGTTCCTAAATGAATCTGTTGGTTGTGTTTCGATAGGTGAAGCAATGTCTACGCAGTCAGTAGGCAATTATATTTATAAATAATTAAAGATCCTGTAACACATTTTTATGGTTTTATAAAAAAATATGATGCTCAAATTAAGATTTATCAAAATTGTAAATTCCAAAAAGCATTATTTATAAAGATATTACCGAATTTAATATTTTATGTAAATAAAGGGAAGTAATTAGAAATTTATTTTCTATAAATTCTAAGTCAAATTTTCCAATAGGAAATGAATGCACATAATTTAATGATTACATTTAATATGTACAAATATTTGCAGTACATATTTTACATATTCTTCGATGTTTGAAAATTGTTGTATTAGCATATTTATATACAAATATAATTTCACGCAAGTGAGGTATACAACTTCAATTACAAAACATACAGGATTACATGCAAAACAATGTAAGCAAGCTACAAGCACTTAACCGATTGAACATATCAATGATCACATAATAAATTGACATAATAAACGGAGGGTGCCTGATAGGTAAGTTTAAAATATTTCAATGTGCATGAGTAAACTTACAGGATCGTGAAAGTTATTGGTGGTCTTGTTATTTTGGACAAACATTATAACTCAGTAAGGTTTTGTGTAAAATAAATAGAATAAATTCATATGTAAAAGTATTCACTAGAAAATGTAATACGATCTAAACGCAGTGTAAAATGTTTTTTGGGAGGAAGTATGTTTAAACAGATCTGCACTACAAAGTTAAAGAACTATCCTGAACATTTTATTTTAGAACTATCCTTTATATTTTATTTCATATTGGCAAGAACTACCCTTTACATTTTATTTTAGAATTGCCAATGAGATTCCCATATTTCAGTTCGTAATTCTAAAATGGCCAATGAAATTTTTTCTTATATTCAGTTTTTCCCTCGGTTGTATATTTTACAAGAAGTCAACCTGATTTTAGAAGGTCTTTGGCCACATGAGTGTAGATTCGTCAGTGAATATATAACTGAGTTCAATTGATCTATTTTTGCGACCTTATTACGATTTCAATGAATAAAAAAAATGAAGATATACAAATTTGATATTTAATTTTGTATGCAATAGTCTCGTCCCTTATATATATTGTATATATAGTAAATACAATTAATGATATTTCATTTAGCGTCTATGTGAGTGATATTTGTGTAACGCATATAAAATCATGTCACAGTATCAACACATCTTATATTTTATTTTATTGTTATTATTACTGATGGAGGAAGACCTGAGTAAAAATACAGACGTTTTGTAAGCTAGCTTTATAACTTTCTCACATGAAATAATCTAAAGTGTCTTGCGGAATTCAAACGTACAGCGGTGAGGGCTAAATAGTGTAAAGTCATTTGGCCACGGACGCCGAAATACTAGCAGTCTTCAAATTGTTCTTATTAACTTTTTTGTAAGTTTTTGCCAGTATCTTGTTACAACATAAATACGAGGGCTGTTTCAATACGCTGTTTACAACAGTGTTATTATACAAAATACTCAACAAGATTCTAAAGCTTTTAATGTTACTTCAAAAGTCAAGCACGACAACATTTAATTTGATAAATACACAGAACATAAAATAAGACTACCTGTAACCGCAGTGCGGCCCACGTTCCTACATTGTACGCTCGTACATTATGCCAATATTATGGAAAGCCATGACTGTCTGACATTGTTCTTTTTCAATTTATGTAACCATTTGGAAAATATATAAGTTCACTTCGACTATATATGAATTGAAAACACCTTATTTTCACTATATGGAACCAAAGTAGCCATGTATGGAACCAGGTGTCCTTAAATGAAACCGAAATAACAATATACGTACTAACTCATTTTTACAATATATGATTCCATTTTATCAATGTGTTGAACCAAAGTATCAATATATGTTGATTATCACATTATATGATACCAATTCTTCAATATGGTTCCATATATGGCTGCTTTGGTATATATTGTAAAAATGAGTTAGTATATTGTTATTTCGGTTTCATTTAAGGACACCTGGTTCCATACATGGCTACGTTGGTTCCATATAGTGAAAATTGCTATCATATAATGTGATAATCAACTGATATATTGCTACTCTGGTTCCATACATTGATTAAATGGTTTCATATAGTGTAAAAATGAATGAATATATTGATAATTCAGTTCCATATAAGGACATCTGGTTCAATAAATGGTTACTTTAGTACCATATATCGAAGAATTGGTACCATAATTATAATGTGAAATCATATGTAAGTTGATACTTTGGTTTCATACATTGACGACTTGATTTTATATATTGAAAAAATGAATTAATATATTCATAATTCGGATTCATATAGGGATATAATTATGGTTCCATATATGGCTACTTTGGTACCATATATTGAAGAATTGGTATCATATATTGATAAAATCAATTTATATATAGCTACCTTGGTTTTATACACTGACGGTATGGTTTCATTTATTGTACTTTGGATTTATATAATGGTTCCCGGTTTAATAAGAAGGTGTTATCAAAGGTGTTGTCGAAGTGAACTTATATATTATTCACATGGTTAAATTAATTGAAAAAGAGCAATAAAAGACAGCCATTGCTTTTCATACTACAATATCATACTTGTCAAGCTATCATTATGGAAAGCCTTGACTATCTTATAATTATAAATCTTAACGTTGTTATGTCCAATTAGCCATATATTGAATCAACCTTTCTCTATACAATGTGCACTCATGAATATATTATGTGGAAACTTTCTGATCTATAGTCAACTAAACAATATATGATGTCAATGTGTCTTTATATGATGTCAAAAAATCATTATACGATGTGCAATTTTGAATATATTATGTGGAACCATCCTTATATAAGGTCAAAATAACTATATATTATGTCAATCTGTCCTTATATGATGTCAGTCAGTCATCATAAGATGCGAAGTTATGGATATATTATATGGAACCATCTTTATATAGAGTCAACAATATATGATGTCAATGTTTCCTTATATTATGTCAATCTATCAATATACGCTTTGTATTTTTCAGTACATGTATATTATGTGAAACCATCCTTATATATAGTCAAAATATAAGTATATTATGAGGAATCATTCTTATATAGAGTCCACTTAGCAATATATGATGTAAATGTGTCATTATATGTGGTCAATCTTTCTTATACGGTGTGCATTAATGAATATATTATGTAGAACCATTCTTATATAGAGTCAAAACAACACTATATTATGTGGAATCGTCTTAATATAGAGTCAACTTAACAATTCATCAGCAGTTTAGAACCACCCGGGATTCCCTCGGGTCTTGAGATTTAATCACTTTGGGATATAGACAGTCCCTGCCACGAACAGTGCATAGTGAGATATAACCCGGTAAATTTGACCCCATCAGTATAATGTAAAAAGCACACGATATAAGAATGTTTACACTTCATATAAAGCAGCGGACGTATATTGATAGATTAACATCGTATAATGAAAGATTGACATAATATATATTGATAAGTTGACTCTATATAATGATGCTACCACATAATATATTCATAAATGCAGATCGTATAATTTACAAATTAAACGAGACTTACCTGTAAGTTGAAGTTTGATGTTAATTTTGTTAGTCCCTATCTACCAGAATCACATGAGTGAAAGGACTCGATCACGTGACCAGACCCCCAGATCTTTAGCATCAGATTAATGAGACTCATTAAAAGCAGAGTTATTTCCGCGGGAGGGCAACCAATGGGTGGGCATGTGATTCTGGTAGATAGGGAACTAACAAAATAAACATCAAACTTCAACTTACAGGTAAGTCTCGTTTTAATTTGTAAATTTTTGTTATCCCTATCTACCAATCAGAATCACTATGAGTTTTCAGAGTTTCTGCTTAAGGAGTCTCAGTTACACAAGTAATAAAATAATATAGATGTAGTTTTAATTTATGGGTAAAATATAACTCGACAACAATTTTAGAAAAATAACTGTAATTTCTGACATTTCAAACATGAATATGTATATATTTTTACAAACAACATTAATTCATTTATCTTACAAAAATGTTTCTTTTAAACAGATGATTATTAACGCTTATCTGCTCTTATCTAACACAGACCTTGCAAAATCAGAATTGTTTGTAATATTTCTTTTATAAAATTTCCTAAAAGTACAGTCTGTTTTTCCAACCAGCGGTTCTTAACACTGTTTCAACATGTATTTTTGAGGATGCCACCACTGGTTGACGCACTACGAGTACTGTGCGGTTTAAAAAAATGTTCATATCAATACCCGCACCTGATAACACCGTTTTATCCATTTTCCTAATGTTCCCTTTGAAACACTTTTATATGGTTTTTGATAACTTATAAACAATTGATCCTCAGTTTCGCGAAGGGTCTTAGTTGTCCCTAAATATTGTAATAATGTTTTAACAACACATATATTTCCATTATCTGGGTATTTCTCAATGTATAATTCTGAGAGATGTTTTGTTTGACAACTTGTTTTCAATAAATCGCCGATTCTTATTTTTACATAATCACAATTAATATCAATATTTTGAACATAAATGCTATGCAAAGTTTGTAAACGCTGTCCTGTTGTTAATGCCAACAACATGACCAATTTGAGGCTCAAATCCTTAAGGAAAGTTTTACCCTCGGTTGTTGAGTTACTTAAATTATCCGAAATATGTTTTAACACTACACTGACATCCCACGTGCAATTATAGCGCGGTAATGCAGGTTTCTCATATAC